ATGAACAAAATACATCACCAATATCAATGGACACATATAAAGAAAATCACACAATATGTTATCTAAGCAGAAAAAAAGAATAACAATATCATATTAACTATTTCGTTAAATAATACAGTCAAACGATCTCATGGAGTACTAGAAATTCTTTATCATAAAAGGTCTTGTATATCTTTCTTAGAAAATAATCCTGTTGTTACTGTATCTTTATATGTGTCCATTGATATTGGTGATGTATTTTGTTCATTGATAACATGATTAATTGGTAAATGCCGATAGCGATAAAAAAAAGCATTAACATTAGATCAAACGAGATCTCGATCATATGATAATGATGGCACACATTTTCTTCAAACTATAGAAAAAAACAATTAAATTATCAAGAAAATTTTTTTTGTCTAAAATTTTCTTTGACAATTTCAGTTTTAGGTGAATCAACGACAGATAAAAACCTTGCATAAAATGTATAATGCCTAAACTATACACTACCACGATGATTTATAGTACCGAATAAATCATAACAAGCTTGAGGTGAATGTATTATTGATAACTTTATGAAGCCATATTAAAATCACTACAACGTATTCTCATTACNTAGATGTATATATAATATGAAACACTAGTAATTGAAAATCAGTGACTTTGCTCAAAGAGATTTTTATTTTGAAATACATACTGAACTGGATATTTAACATATGTATCAGTTTTAACTCTTGAATTAGAAAAATATCTATATAATGAACCTTGATAATATTTTAATCGTTTAGAATCTACGTATAATTAGTATTAGTGGTCTGTGTGAGTTTTCTCTTCATCCACGCCCTAAATATTGGTTCAGTTTTAAGAAATTCTCCTTGAGCAAAGTCACTGATTTTCAATTACTAGGGTTTCATATTACATATACATCTAATGTTAAATCAGTCGCACGACATGTAAATTTTTGTAATGAATCATTAATATTTTGTAATGCTAAACGTCCAACTTGTTGTTTTTCCACAATATAATTTCGATTATGTACATCATCTTTACTGATAGGTAGTATAATCATAAAAGTAAACATGCTGTCGAACTATATTAACTTTTAATTATTCAAATAAACTAGATGGTACTTGTCATCCTTTGAAATGAATTAGCGTGTGGGTGTGCGAGTGTGTCTTTTCTCCAGAGGATATGGATCTGGGTGTGAGTGGATCTGGAGAAAAAAAAACATTCGCACGCCCACACCCATCCCACACCAACACCTACACCCTATTAGCAGTATTTTCTCTATTAGAAAATTAAGGACATTATCAAACACACAAAAGATATAACATCATTCTGTATACATTTAGAAACTTTGTTAAAAAATATCACATTTCGACATTAATGCACTTCTATCTTTGACAAAACTTGTTTATTTAACATGTTTGTATTTTTTATCATGAACATATACCAAATGTATTTTTAATAAAAAGTTACTTAATCATACACAAATGAAATTTCATTCGCAGGAAGAGGTCCATAGAAAATGCTGTAAATGAAAGTGTTGAAAGCAGAAATATCGAATGCGAATGTATCCATAATCTACTTTATTGAATCATCCATACTATTGCAATATCTTATCGGAGTAACTTATCTTCTAAAATTGAGATATCTATAGAATGTAAAGGAAAGGTTCAATATAGAAAATTTTATTTTTGGAAACTTTTCATATAAAGATAAAAAAAATAGAGAAAAGTAAATACATTCGAAAAAGAAAATAAACGTGATCCAAGGATTCCGATGAAGCAAGGTCATTTTTGACTTGTATGGATTGTCTGTAAAAATGATTAAGCTTTCATATGAAACATCGATTGGGTGTGGGTGTGTGGGTATGAGTGGATGTGTGGGTATGAGTGGATGTGGGTATGGGTAAAGAGAACAAAAACACCCACGTACACCCACACCCACACCCACACTCCACACCCACCCACACCCCACACCCGCCCATACCCACACCCGTCTAGGTCGATAAAACTAGAAAAACACGAGACACAACCGCAGCGGAATGCAAAAGTAGATCAGTATTCCTATACCTGCTGTACATACTACACCTCTGCAACTTCGCTGCCATTGTACCTTGTAACGTGATGTCGCCCACTGTCTACCAACAGGTGCACCATTCCCCATCGATAGGCCACTATACCGAAATATCTATCACGGTACACTTTATTTGAATTAATGTTAACCACTTCAGCCACATAAATGTGTCATTCATAACGTCCATTAACCTAAACATGTGGTATGAACAAAAACGTTCCCACTGATTTTCTCCGACGTACGCAACAAAACATGCATCATCCATATCTATTGGGCGGGTGTAAGTGTGAGCGTGGGTATGGGTATTCTTCTTCTGTCGACTTACACCCACACCGACAATCTTTCGCCACTTTTTTTGAACCTAATTGGGATGATTTATGTACTAAAATGTTCTCCGTTCAATTCTCTGCAGAAAAGATATCGAACGTTTTACTGTAGAATCCAAAGGTGCTAAATGCCATGAGAAATTATCAGAAGTGTCAAAATGGAGAAAAAATGAAGTCCATTTTCACAAATAAAGCAATATTTTTCGAATGGCTGCACAACTACGAGAACGCGGTTTCCGTATATTTTGTGTAGTTTCAAAGACGCTCTATCTCCTCGTGTACAGCGCAATTTATTTGAGTCCAAAGATTCGACGCGAAAATCCGCTGTACGGCAAACAAGCGAAAAAAAGCAACAACTTTTACGTTGTTTATGTGTTAGAAAAAAAATTTTTTTTTTTAAACCTTAAAGACCCGACCATAATGATTAAACTTTGGTTTCCAAAATAAATGAAAAAAATCAGCCTGAACGGATCAGGTTTGAGCAGATTTTATTTGTTTTATCGAGAGGCTTAAAGTATTGATAAAAAAATGGTTATTTTTTGCAAAATTGGTAACAAATAATGAAGTTCCTCCGCTCTCAATTCTAATTGAAATCTTTTTGAAATTAAAGGCGAAAAATAGAGCTTTGTAAAACCTGCACGATAGCTTCTTTAATTTTTCTCTCTCAGAAGATTTCCGGAAAAAATACTGGAACAACTTGTTTTCCAGCTTATATAATTTTAATTTTTTCTCCATTTTGATACTTCTAATTATGTCTCATGGCACTTCGCATCTTTGGACTCTACAATAAAACGTTCAATACCTTTTTTGTAGAGAATTGGACGAGAAACATTTTAGAACAAAAATCAGCCCGATTTGGTTAAATAAAGAGGAGAAATATTAAAAATACAGCCTAATTTATTCTTGTTCACCTGAGAGACCTGCTGTACAAAGTTCTTTTGTTCCGAGTGCTGATTGAGTCCCGACCAGACATATGCGAGACGAAGACTTTTTTGGTCCCGGCTCCGCACATGTCTACTCGAGACACCACCATCACTTCATGATTCTGAACACCATTTGCCTATAACAACCATTTTATATGGATGAATATTTCTATTCAGGCAGCAACCAATACGACATCGAATCATCCCTTATGTGGCAAATTTTCAGTCTCTCGAGCTACTTGATGTGGCGATTCACATGAAAAAGGGCCTCGCATTTCGACTTTTCTTTTTTTCTTCTGCAATATTCTGAATTGCATCTCTGCCTAACGGTGAACCACGGTGATTGAAGTATAGGACTTGAATTCTTTTCAGAACCAATAATATCATTTTGTTTCAATATATTTCCAAACGATCAATAGAGGAAAACAAGGTAAAGTCAAGCTGATTAACTTCACTTTAGCAACAAAAACATCTGCAGAAATAATATGAGAGACAGATATATTCCAACTATTCTGCATTCAGACTCATTCATCGTGTTGAGGCACTCAGATAGTGCTGAAATTATGTCTTTTTTTCAATTCACCCTGGCATGACAGAAAACTATAGAATATGAAACGAATTTCTCTTCGTTAAATGGTTAATTTCGTCGGAAACAGAAGACATCAACTTTGAACATCTTCTTGCACACTCTGTCAAATTATTTATTTGTAGACAACGAAAGAATCTAGTATTTATTGATGTCGGTTCAAGTTTATTTTGATCTATAGATGCTACATTTTTTTGAAAAGCAATTCAGTAAGAAAAGTTTTATGCTATAAGCGCCCGAGTGCCAAATCTCGACCGATGCCGCGTCTTATAAGTTCAGTGAATTCAGACAAATTCAATTTGTAGTCACAGTTCTTATCAACTTTTTGAACTTGATGAAGAAGCATATATGGATTGGCATTGGGCACAATGCAAGGCATAAAAGCAGCCAATTCACCAATATCAATTGTGCCTGAATGATCGCTATCAAGTAGACGAAATGCTTCAGGTATATCGTCGAGTGCGTGTCGACCTAGCATGAATGGGCGTAATACCTTAGTGAAGCTATTGAATGGTATTGGTCTCGGCGAACTTGTTGCTGCCAATCTTTCGTAATCAACTCGACTTATGGCTACACGGTAATTAACTCTGTCACCGTTATCATGAATTTCTTCACAACGATATTCGACGTCGTTGATTTGAGAGCCAATCCAATTTAAATTTTCGGTAACACGAATCGTGTATTTGTCTTCCATGATAAACTGAAATCTGACTAGAGCAATTTATGAATATTAGAACTTCTTCTACATCATCGCTTACCTATTTTCTTGAAAGCGTGTGATGAAAGTAGCTGATTGTTAATGCTAATGGTGTTCTCGCCGAAATTATGAGAAGTGTATACTATAAATCATGCCTTATATAGTTTTTCGCTCTGGCCAAATCTACATTTACCCATTGAGGGAAACCAAGAATAAAAACATACATGTCGATCACCATTCGCCTACCTCACATTTTTTTCACGTCAAAATAATACCTTTTTGGTAATTAGAATGTTTTTATTCGGTTTTTATCCCAAGGACTAAATATAGTAGTGTTTGACTCATAAAATCATGCAATGTGTGACGTACAACCTGTATGTCATGCGTTATAAACTTTTTCTCTTCTATTATTTCTATGACTACTCGTTAAAGTAAGTAAGGAATGAAAAAAAATAACTATCACCATTCACTAGCTCGTATTTTTATAATTGAAAAAAAATAATTTTTTTTGGCATCGGCATCTATTTTTGTGTATTCTTGGTTTCCCTCAATGGGTAAATGTAGATTTGGCCAGAGCGAAAAACTATATAAGGCATGGTTTATAGTATACACTTCTCATAATTTCGGCGAGAACACCATTAGCATTAACAATCAGTTACTTTCATCACACGCTTTCAAGAAAATAGGTAAGCGATGATGTAGAAAAAGTTCTAATATTCATATATTGCTCTAGTCAGATTTCAGTTTATCATGGAAGACAAATACACGATTCGTGTTACCGAAAATTTAAATTGGGTTGGCTCTCAAATCAACGACGTCGAATATCGTTGTGAAGAAATTCATGATAACGGTGACAGAGTTAATTACCGTGTAGCCATAAGTCGAGCTGATTACGAAAG